CTGTTTTTAATTAGCCGAATTATAAAAGTATTATCTAACTTATGTGGAAGACGAATGCTTTAAGATATATTCATTGTACGTCTAATGTGAACAATAATGAAATGCATTCGATTAACTTGCTCAATTAAATATTCTATCCATAAAAAGTTAAAGATATCACTTCATCGTGTAACTGAAATGACAATTTTCCATGACAACAATTATGTTGCTTTACATTGCGTCGAAAAATCTTTGTAATACGATTACTTACATATTAAAACGCTAAACGTCAATATCATCTATAGTAGGGGAGCCCAAGAGGGGATTTTTGTTGTTACTCAAGCGCGGCAGATTAACATAAAAGAGGTTACCTTGCACTCTATTGAGTACTTTCACCATAATATAAGTCTTCTATATAAAGGGGCGCGTCTAGGGAAGCCGATTAAAATATTTAAAAAATGTTTTGATAAGGTAGAAATACTTGAAACCGTCAGATTAAGGTGTGGTAGGCTAGTCACATCCTGAAAAGTGTCCAATTTAATAATCTGCCGATTTGCACAAGCCGAAGAGGCAAAAATGGACTATAAAGTTTATGATGATTTTTGCCTCTTCGGCTTGTGCAAATCGGCAGATTATTGAATTGGACACTTTTCAGGATGTGACTAGCCTACCACACCTTAATCTGACGGTTTCAAGTATTTCTACCTTATCAAAACATTTTTTAAATATTTTAATCGGCTTCCCTAGACGCGCCCCTTTATATAGAAGACTTATATTATGGTGAAAGTACTCAATAGAGTGCAAGGTAACCTCTTTTATGTTAATCTGCCGCGCTTGAGTAACTACAAAAATCCCCTCTTGGGCTCCCCTACTATAGCTCACGAATATTAAAATATAAAAAATTAAATGTACTACACTACATATTTCGATATTTCAATATCTATTCGGTACGAGTATTTTTAATATATATTTTGTCGTTCTTGTATTGTTCATAATAACGTCATTATTTATAGATTAGCGTTATATTACTTGTTCTTCTAACATAGTAGTGTACAATATACATACCATTTTTCCTATGTATAGTTGTTGTCTGTGTTAATCTATGGTCATTTTTCAGCTGGTCAAAAAACCAACTTTTTGTCATTTTAGCTCAAAATCCAACCACACATTGTGTAACATAAGCTTATTCCAACAATGAATCCTATACATGAAAATTATTGGACTAAAGGATAGATAAGACTTGTTGCATTTATCGTAAGCAAATAATGTTGTTTTATTGAAAGTATCTGAATTTTTGTGTTTAGTGAGAGAAATTGATTTGCTTGTTATGTTAACGGTCTATAATCTATATGGATTTCTCACAAATTATTCGTATGTGAGAAGAAAGGTGTTTAAAAATTAAAATGTGTAAATCTAAATCTGCAATTTTTTTTCATGAAATGTCAAAGTTCTCTTTAAAATTGATGTAAAACAATTTTAATAATACAAAATGTTAGAAACAAAAATGCATGCAGTGCAATATTGAGTATGGTCTATGTCTATATTACTATGTAGTTGTTGAACTCTATTTGATAGATATATAGTTGTCTAATTAAAAATTATTTCTTCAAATTATAGTGTCGCTTTCCCCTTACCAATAAAATTATATTAAACAATCCTCGTCAATGTTAGTACGTGTTTAAATTATACTATATTGATAAATATCGATGTCATGACGTATAATATGGTATATTGGTGTCTTTTTATTATATAATGAATTAAATGAAATGTTATAGGTTAAATAAATAAATTCTGCTTGTTTACGCTTTTTGGATAGATCCGGTCCAGTAGCTCCGTTATATATAATATAAAATTTTACACGAAATCGTTTTTTTTAATTTTGTTATTGTTTACCCAATTATATTAATCCAATTAAATTTAGTAGCGAACTTCCCACCCTCTTACTATTTATACCGCCCACAACACAGTATCTTCATTGTTTTATTTATATTCGAATCCATATCGATCGTCGTACGGGTCTTAACATTTTTAATAGATATAATTGTATTGTTAGTGAAAACAAGTCTCTACATTTCATTTATTTATTATAATTTATGTATATTTGCCATTAAAAAAGAAATATATTTTAGAATATTTTTAATATAGAATTTCGTTCAATTACAAATCATTTTAATTTTGTGTAAAGACTATAGGTTAATTATTTGGACCATACTTTTTAGTTTAAGTTCTATTTTTAAATATAAGCTTTGTTATTATTATTGTACGTTGGTTGCAAATCAAATTTATCTCAATTCTTAATGTTATTATGTAGTGTCATAGAAATAAATGTGTTGATGTGATATGGTATTTTATTTTTATTTTATTTTAAATAAATACTTATATCTATGAAATTTTTGTCTTTTAAATTGTATCCTTACTTTATTTGTACCATAAAAAGCGAGGTAGCGTAGCATAATTTAGTCATTTTAATCCAAATAAATTTCATTGGAATAATAGTTTTCCTATACGGGTCTACTACACTAGCTTTGAACGCCAGCTCAAGTAGCGGTGGAGCTAAAGATCGCAGCATGTGAAAGGTTTTGAAAGAAAACTTAGCTTTGAACATTGTCATACCGTCCTTCTGTTTTGTTCTATTTAAATAAGTACATAGCATTTCAAGCTTTATATAAATCACTAAAGAGTTCAGTACCTTTTTTTTCCTATATGTTTGTCGATCGATTTTTTGTTTGAAAGCTATTGACGAGCTTTAGTGTTATAAAAAAAAATTGAAACCGTTTTACAAACTTACTAGATTTTAAACTTATTGTAGATTTCCGAAGTAAATAATATTTCCGAAGATATATTATTATGTATTATTGAACTGATTTGATAACCGAAGTACGAGTAGTGTAATGAATTACTTATTTAGTTATTTGTTATCTATACATATAATAAAACTGTAGAGGTCGAATGTCTGTACATAGAAAAAAATGATAAAAACTGAGTCAGCTTAGTACACAAAAACTACTGATTGGATTTTAATGAAACTTTACAACAATATAGTTCATACATCAGAATAACAAATAGACTATTTTTTATCCCAGAAAAATGTACGTTTCCCGTGGCTTAGATTTGTATTTGTTTGTCTACAGGCGAACCCTAGCGAAGCGAGGGTGAGTCGCTAGTTCTCTATAACGTCTATTAGTGTCTTTTGGAATTACATGTACTAGTGATGATCGCCCCGTGGTCCAAATTCGACAACAACTCATTAAGTTTGCACGTAATAAAGGTTCTTTTATCAAAACCACATATCTGTAACCTTTCACAATAAATCTTATTTATATCCAGACTAATACTTTAAATGTGAAAGTGTGTTTGTTTGTTTGTCTTTCTTTCACGTCAAAACGGCTTGGTGGATTGGCGTAATTTTTTGTGTGGAGATAGTTGGAGAGTGACATAGGCTACTTTTTATAACGGGAGATTATCTCTTTCCCTTATCAGAATTGCTTGAAACTTGGTATTAATGCTCTTCAATATAATTAATTAAATACATATTTTAGCATTTTTCGAAATTCATCCCATAAGGGGGTAAAATGTTGCGGATGAAATTTTGTATGAAACCAACCATTTTTAGTTTTTTTTTTGAAGTTTTAGCTTAATATATAAAACAAAGTCGTGTTAGTTACAGCGTTTATAACTCAAGAACGGCTGAACCGATTTTTATGATATTTGATTTGTTGGATTTTCCCTACGAATAAATAATAAGTATTTATTCGTAGAGTTTGCCTCTTCTCCGAAGAGCAGAATGACTCTAAGACTTCGGAATAAATCACGAAAAAATATTAAAATTTACTTGGCTAAAGCTGGCTAATAACTATTTATAATATTTATTTAAAACATACCTAGGGTCGCACCCGAGCGAAGCGACGATAAGTCGCTAGCTAGTCTATACATATAATAAAATTGAAACTAAGCGGAATCTTAATATTCAATATTTTTTGGAAAATCTTAACTGACTTTAAGTTTATCCATCGTCAGAGCCGAATCATAGAAGTTGCCGTTTGTATATTTAAATGGTTATACGATGTAAATATAATATGTACGATTATGTTTCATTTTTTGTTTAAATTATAATTCAAAATCATAAGTCAAAAATTTCGTTTTCCACAGGTTGCAAAAAATCGATTTCAACGTTAATAGAGTTATTGTTATTTCATTGAAATAAATATTGAATTTACGTAATTTTTCGTCACTCAGAGCTACATTATAAATACGATAGTTAGTGAGCTTACGGTTAAATCGGCTTAGCGGATTTGAACATAATCCAGAACGGGTATAGCTTACATCGTGAATTATTCTAAAAGATCTAAGCACTATCCATTAACAAGTTTTCTGTATTTATACCCTACAGATATAATAGTTTAAATTAATATCATTATTTCAAATATTTAAGTTAGTAGCTAGCTAGCTAGTTATGTTTGGATGTTTTTTAATTTCAATAGCTTCGCGAATCATCCTGGGGCGATAACGGTTCTCTTTCGCGAATATTTGTGTACTATCAAAGCGAATGTAGTAGCCAGGATCGCCCAAGCCACTATAATAACAGCTAAAATTTAATAAATAATAATAAACCTTTCATTAGTCCATACAGTTTTTTTTTAATTTAACACATTGTTTGTATGGATCCCATTCTGGTAAAAGCCTCTCCCAAGGAATGCCAAAAATCTCTGTCCTTAGCTGTATCCAGCTAACTTCCGCCCACCATCGCTACAATTTCATTAGAATTATAAAATCAACAAATATTGTAAGGCACTTGGTGACATTTTGGGTTGGGTTGTTGGGTAGGCACTGTCTGTAATAGGTATATAACGCCTTTGAGATGTCTAAAACCTTAGTCTCTCTCGTGACCATGATTGCTCTAAAGTGTAAAGCACTCAAAATGTCGAGAACTGAAAAACAAAATAAATCGCGAAATAATCCGAAAAGATAGTTTTATTTAAAATATTAAACATTCGCGAAATGGATAAATATTCATTTATAAAATGATGTCAGTTGATACGAAGCATAACTTAGGTATATTTTAATTTTAAGCTTCATGGATGCTTCTAGACTACCTAGACTTTGTATAAAGTTCACCTCCCCCACCCGATGCCTCCCATCACCCAAGTGAATTTCTTCCCAGCCTGATTCCATGAACAACCCCACCGAACGAGGCATGCGCAAAATGCCTGAACCTAGTTCCGCCAGGGCTAGGCTAGGCATTCTACTTTCTGAGCTGACACTATGATGACGAATATTGTGAATTTTAAGTTCTTTTAGTTGTGTTTGGTGTATAGATTATTAAGTGAAATGCTCAATATTGTTCGAAAATTGTTATAATAGTCAATAAAATGTTTAAAGTGAGGCGGTGACCGAAAGCCTCAGTTATCGAAATCGTGAGTATTATTATAATATACATATATGTAATAGTGAATACATTTAAGTAATTATTAAATATGATAAATACTATAGTGCGATATATGTTATTAATTATTATTTCATCTGTGAATTTGAAATACTGTTAAAAAGCGAATTTTGCATTATGCACCTATCTATTAGTTTAAAGCGTCGCGATGCGAACGTTTAGTCTTAGATGCTATTTATGTTATTGATGTGTTGTGACATTTTTCCTCTCGCTTTCCTGCAATCTGTGGGAGTGATTTCTTGAAAAGGGACGGAAATGGAAGGAAGCGCGCGCTATTTTTTATTAATCGGCTAGAATCAGTGATTTTTATAATGAGGGTTAGGCATATGCACTTGTATTTAATATAAAAAGGTGCATTTGCAAGACAATTGTGATTGTGCATATGTTTGTGTCGCATCTGGGACTACTCCACCCACCCCGTCTCTCCCCACCCTGTCTCCCCCGCACCCCGCGCAGCATATTTTGTTCTCTTTTTTTCGAAAATGGAATCCAGATTCCAGGGTAACTTAGTTACTTGGGAGAGGGGGGAGGGGGGAGGGGGGAGGGAGGAGGTAGGTCTCGGTGAATAGGGGTGTGGCGAGTACGGAGGGAGGTGCACTTGCGATGTTGAGCGAATGCAAGATGTTTTGTTTTTAATTACATATAAATTGTAATTAGTATATATGTTTTACTAAGTAAATATTAATTTTTAGGTTAAGAAGTTATGATATTGCGTAAGCACCTGGATTACTTGCAAAATCATAATCAAAACAAGAGAACATAGCAACTGGCGTTTAATACCATCCATCAATTCATGTCGAAGATGAAGAGGCAGGCAGATTTAACATTCCAATGACATAGAGCAATCTTGGTGGCCAAGATTTGGTATAGTAAAATATTAATAAAAAAATGCTCTTTTCAATTTATGATATAAATAATAAAACAAATCATATTTTTCAGGCACCACAATTTATAACCTCGCCAATCCAAGGACAGTAACGACACAAGTCCACATACCATTTTCAATTTCCACCCAGGTGAGGTATTAACTTAAAATAATATTATAATGGGGAGGAGGGGGGTGAGGAGGAGGGGGATGAGGAAGAGGGGAAGGGTCAGTAGGAAGGGGATGAGAAGGAGGGGAGGGAAGTAGGGGAGAAGCTAGGGGGAGGTGATGGCCACGGGAGAGGTCAGGGGGGAGGTAGAGCGGGGGGAGGGCCAAGGGAGGGGTCAGGGGGGAGACAGCGGGAGGGTGGGAAGTTAGAGAGTCTATTTTGGGGTCTTGAATGTGTGTGGGCGCAATAGTTAAATATACATACTAAAAATAAATTTATTTTGTACAGGGGAGTGATTCAGCAAACAGCATTTACAACGATCAGCCATGGATTCAGAGGAGGCTGACGAAGAGTTTCGCCGTACGTATCTTTATGTATATAATTCTTCTGTGAGTGTGTATGTCACTGAACTTCTCTCAAACGACTGGACCGATTTTGATGAAATTTTTTGTGTGTGTTCAAGGGGATCTGGGAATGGTTTAGATTCACAATTTGAATAATAATTTTCATCAAAAAAAATATTAAAAAAAGTTTGAAATTTTCAAATTAAAGACGTGTAGACAGGACGTCTGTCGGGTCCGCTAGTAAATATATATAATAATTTATTTTAATGAGATTTTTTTCTTTCCTAATTTAATATTGATATATTCACAGAGGCTCTAGCACGACCATCTTAGTCTCCTCTACTACTATTTAAAATCCACTACAAGTTGTCAGACGAAGATTCTAATGACAAAAAAAATCCCCGACTACGTACGTTTTTGGATAGTGTCGTAAGTACATATAAATATAATTATATGTGAATATTTAAATAAGTACTTACCTTTATTAGTTTTGAATGAAGTTTATTTTTAATAATTCATCATATAATCTTTGCAGGTTTGTTCGTGGAAAAGTCATCAATCAAATTGGCGTTGGAACCACAAATACGCATAATACGTACCTTAATGATTTCGATCTCTTTGTTAACGGAAGATGAATAATATATTTTGTACACATTTATAGTAAGTATTTAGATATAGCTTTTATTAGTGCTTCCCAATAACATACATGATATATTATAATATGTTATATTTTGTAATAATATTAAGTTTATAAAAAACTATAAAATTCAAAAAAGACTTAGTAGAATAAGATACTATAGCCGACCTATGAAACTAACACCTTAATATACTTGTAAGAGATTTAGGTTATTTATATTATTATGTAAATATAGAATATTTAAAGGTCGCTCAATGTGCGGAATAATGTAAAAGGAGTAGATTTTTAAAAGATTGAGATATCTCTGTAAATATAACTTAGAAGAAGGCATATATTTTCAAAGCATATCATTTGAGGCACTTTTCATGTATTTTTATTCTTACTACTACTAACCTTTCTCCATGGGTATGCATTTGATATATATGGTTTCTTCTAGAGATATCTTTAAGTTTTCTTTTGTTTTTACTAGCGAGTAGTTTGATTATTTTTCTAGAATTCTGGAAATAGACTAAGGTTCTATGCCGTTATATGTATACTGTAACATGTTTATAGAAGAGGCTTGTGCAGAAGAGATAGTCTAATTTGCGTCTCTATGTACAGAGCAGTTCAAGCAATGTGTTCAAGATCCGGTACAACATATAAGCGGCATATGACTTAGTTTCTTTCACTTATAATTTTCAATATTAGGTTAAGGTAAACTGACGTACATCCCAACATGAAACAGTAGTGTGTAAATGTGCTAGTAAATTTTATTTATAAGGTTTCTAAATATAAAGGTAGAATTTAATTTAATTTAGAAAAGGTATTTAAGAAGGCAAGTATATAGTATTTAGTATGTATTTAGGGTAGTACGTACTGGAAACTGACGAAGGCAAAAATAACGGTAGTATGTAGGGGAAACCGAAAAAGGCAAGTTAGTAATATATAACGAACTGTATATAGTAATAATGATAATTGGTAGTATTTTAGGAGGGACATTTTTTTAATAAATTAGTTAGCAAATTGTGTACTATGTATATACATTACACATACATATGTTTCTAAATATATCGATAGTACATAGGGGGAACTCAAGAAGGCAAATTAGTTTAATTATAGAACTGTATACAATTATAATATTTGGTAGTATTTTATAAGGATATATTTTTAATAAATTAGTTAGCAAATGTGTGTGTTTGTGTATATATACATTACACATAAATATGTTTCTAAATATAACGGTAGTATATAGGGGGAACTCAAGAAGGCAAATTAGTTTAATTATACAATAATAATATTTGGTAGTATTTTAGGAAAGATATATTTTTTGTAAGTTTAGTAATTGATAATGATAGTTTCAAAAATATAACATAATATAGTTTGTATATGTATATATTAAGTACACCAATAAGTGCTTTTTACCATTGATCAAAGTCTGTTTCAGTAATCAGTACATATTTAGGTATTAATTATTAATAAGTAATAGTAACTCTCAACTTCCAATCCATGTTATGCAAATATGTAGTGCTTAATTACTAGTTAATAAAAATAGGCTTAATTAGAGCTAGTGTTTTGAATTTTGAGTTCTTTGTTAATTCTTCGTAAGTTTCATAAACTAAATAAGGTACTCAATTTACTAAGTATTTATTAAGTATTGATGACGGAAAATTGTTACATTGTTCATAAGATTTTATAAGGTTATTTGATAAAATGTTTATTTTGAGCTAATAGTTTTATAAAAAATAAATAACAAAAAGAAACAAAAAATTTAAAAACACATAAACAAAAAAAATACATGAATTGTTAGTTAATATAATATAGTCTAAGTAAGTTAAAAATAATATATTTTTTTGTATTCGTTATTGTTATTAACTCTACCATTATAGAATGAAGTGATTGTATTTTAGCAAAAGCAAAGAGTGTTGAAACGCAATAAGATTATCAAATAGTACATACCTAATACGCACATATGATGGTAATTATTATAATAAAATATTTAAAGCACAAATTTTTTTGCGACGCGACTTACAATCTACCGCTACCCGCTATGCCTTACTATTTGAGCATGGCCCTTCTCAAGTAGGAAAAAGCAAACACGTTCCAGTCGCATTAGTTTATAATACAAATGATTCAACTATTTTGACTAGATATAAGATTTTATTATATTTATTTTAAGGTAAATAAATATAAATCATCCATTATACGAAAATCATAGTGTCAGAGAGAAAGTGAGAGTATTTAAGTTGCAATGTTATAAAAACTGTCATTTTGTATAGTTTTTTTTAGGTTTTTTTGAAATTAAGATTAATCAGTTAATGGTTTAATTAAAATTATTTATTATTTTAAATATAAATCTTTGTCTTCGTAAGTTAAGATTATATTGTAATTGGAGTTAATTTTTGTTTATGGTATAATATTTTCAAAAAAACATCATTTAAATTTTGTATATTTTTTTGTTTTTGATTTTATTACATGGATTATTATTTTGAAAAAAAAATGACTTAAAATTGTATTGCAATTATCTGTTATTGTTAGTTTTATTCGAATGGAAAGGTTTTATTTCTATTTAGCAACTGAGTTTTTTATATTATAATTTATAAAGCAAGTTAAATTATTTTTTAATTATAATTTATATAGCTTATGAAGATTATTTTAGTTTGTACTTATTTTTATTATTTTCACAATTGTTATTAGGTTACATTATATGAAGGTTTGAGGTATGCATCCGCCTTTGTTTAGTAAAGCTTGTTAATTATTATTTAAAATAATAATTTCATGGCGGAATGGCGTGAGTTACACATTTTAAAGTTCAGGTGGTAGGGACCGCTCGATCCCGCCTGGGTTATTACCACCCTCCTGATTAAGTCTGTTCGCAAAAAGATGCTTTTGGGCATCTTTCAACAGTTTAAGAAAGGGAGATCCAGTTTTCCTCTCTGTATTTATTTATTTTTATTCTGTACTTGGAATATCCTCTTCTTGGTTTAGTGGTATTTTTATTATTTGAAAGTTTTTACTCCTACATTATGTTTCTATTGCTCAATATATCATTATATTATTATATTTAAATATGTCAGTTATTTTTACGGTTTAATTGAAACGCTTCTGTTTCTATTTTATTACCTCAACTTGTCTCTTCTAATAGTAGAGTAATACCTAGATATATCTTGCTTCTAATGGCTTGTAGTCATGTTACAGTAGGCGGTTAGGTAAATTAGGTAATTTCGCAAGATTAGTAAGTCTCCCTAAGTTTTATTCTATTTTTAGTTCTTAAAGATTTTACTTACACATGTTACATTAATTTTTCCACTATTCAATATATCGTTTTTTTTTAATATTTTTAGATATGTCAGATATTTTTACAGTTTAATTGTAACTTCTATTTGTTTCTGTTCAATTATCTCAATTTGTCTCTTTTAATACTAGCGAAATATTTAGATACATCTTGCTTCTTCTGGCTTGTAGTCATGTTCCAGTAGGCGGTTAATATGTTTAATTTCGCAAGATTAGTAGGTTCGGGAAGTTAGGTTACTTGTGCTCTGCGCAATATTACATTTTAATCTATAGTTTATTCATTCACTTGTGAATGATTTTTAAACCTTTTTTATCTGTAATATCTTAAAGAATTTCTCAATTTATTCAATGTTAATTGAATTATTCTTCAATACAATAGAATATCCGTTTACTCAGCATAAGAGGATTTACAATGGGATATAAATATGATTTTACAGTATTTACCTGATTTACTATTTCTGAATACCAAATTGTTAATCTTAAGTAGTCGCCCGAACTAGTATGATTTTTTCGTGTCTTCAATGTTGTATCATCTCGATGTTGTCCGTAGGTTACTTCTTGGTTAGTTAGGGAATAAAAAAAATTACAAAGTATAAAGTTAACAATTAAACAACAACACATCTCTTAAAATCTATATCGAGATTATTGCGTCATATTTACCATAACATCATCTCATGGCTTAAGTATAAGCTAAACATATAAAACTAAATTTGTTCTCTAAAGAATCAAGAAGTAGTAGTATTTAATTATAATCTAGTGTACTTTTAGTAATAGAACCGTTTCACGAACCATGTTTTCTTATTTATTTATATTCTACGGTTTTATTAAATTTCTTCGTTACTTTATTACTACAGGTTAATTAATTCTAAATCAGGCTTTGGTTTATTCATTTTTGCTTCTAAAGTAAAATGATAAAATCTTATTTTAACTATACTTTTTCAGATTTATCCTACTGTTCCATTAGAGTATAATTAATTGTAATCAATAAATGTATAGATAATAAGATTTTGCATTTGTTTACGTAAAAATATTTTATTTTTTAATTATTATAAGAGTGCTTTTTTACAGAACTTGATTTGAGTAAATTCTTCCTATAAGTTGATAATTTTACTGAATTGGTTTTGTAATTTTAGTAATAATATGTTAAGGTCATTATATTACAAATATTTTTTTAATATTTGATTGTGCCAAATTATTTTTTTGTATTAATTAATATTATGATAATTTATAATTATTTCTCGATTATAATAAATGTCTAAATGTCGTAGTTATTGGTTTTATTTATTGAATCATTACACGAAAGTATCTATACGGTAGAAACTTTGGAGTTTCTTTATCTCATATAAAGAACAGAGAACGCTCAGGCAAATTCATCCGAATTCATCCGACGCAATCTTCGGTGTACAATC